GAGCTCTTCTATTTCAGCCTTCATTGCGCCGAGTCGGGAATCAAGCTCAACGTTGGTGGTTAAGTGAAGGCGATTTTTCTCCCTTGTTTTCTTGAATCTTTCATCCATTTTGGCCCTCTTCTCCTCGGTAGCAATGGCCTCCTCGATTTTGGAGCATAAGTTGGACTTCAAGTTGTTAATTTGTTCCTCGAAGGTAGACTCGCACTCGGCAGCGGCGGTCATAACATCATGAAGTTCGGTCCACTTAGACTTAGCCTCTTTGAGATCTTCATGCAATTGAGAAGTTTCTTGGCTTTAGGACATTCGGTTTGCTATAACTGAGCCTCGAGCTCGCTCATCTGTGCAAATTTTGCCTCCAACATCGAAAGGCGCTCGGCGAGCTGGTTCCTTTTAGTCAAAAGTCAATTTAGCTCGGAAGCAAGTTCTTGCTTATCTAGGATCAACCTTTGCAGGCCCTCGTAATCAAGAAGGTTGGCTTAAAAAAGGTTGGAATCAAGGTTATTATCTCCAAGTACAAACAGAAAAGAAGATAGAAAGAAGTTAGGATGATACCTGCGCCGAACAGTGCATGTTGTTGTTTATCAGGCACTCCCCAGAAAGGGAGCCCATCATCCTTCTCTGAAGCCAGTGGCTTCAGGTAATTAGCAAGCTCTACCGGCTTGGATAAAATATGGCACTCTTTCGAAATCGAAAGAGTGGAACTTCGCCTCCCTCGAGGATCTTGGGAAGGTATTGAGTAAGTGTTACCCAAGTTCCCGTGGTCGGGAGACCGTGGGGGAGAAACACTCCTTTCATGTACAGCTGGTGCCAGTAGAGGGGATGTGGTCGGTACTGGTGAAGAAAGGTCAACAGGTATCGATGGGTAGGAAGTTGTTGGTGTAGATGGTGAAGAGGCAGTCGGTACGGAGGGGGCGGCAGTTGAGGCCGACTCAGTAGTCAGTGACAGAGAAAGGTCAGGGTCGAACTCCTCAAATGGAGCATCGGAATGGATCAAAAAATGGAAATTAGCATTTTCAATTATACCCATCTTACCCCAAAGCGCCTGAAATTCCTCTAACGATGGATTTTAGAGCTCCCCCGGTTGAGCATCCTGTTAAGCTGATGAAGATCTTCTTCTCCTTTTAAGGGAAGCCTCTTCATCACTTGCTTCCCCTTCATAATCGAGGACCACTGTGACTGTGGCTGGCTCGGTTGATTTTTTCTTTATCCCTTTTCCCTAGGTCCCGGATGAGGATAAATGCCTCCTCTTCGGTTTCTTATGCTGGGGAGTTCGGGAGGAAGCACCTTCACCGGAGGTGTGAGTGGTTTCACGAGCCCTCCTCCGGTTAAGGGCACCTTGCAGCACCACCTTTGCATCCTCCATCGGCTCATCGAGAACGTCGACATCGGGGCACACAACGGAACCCTTAGAAAGCCCTATACAAGCAAAGAGGTGATTAGTAAATTGCTTTTAAACCAGTAATATTGAAAGGAAGAGGAATTCTACTAACCATGATTCTTAGCTCTCCACCCATATTTGGGAGCCATCTCTTTCCACCGTCGGGATTCCGGAGTTGTAACATCCAAAATTTTCTGAACCCGTGGTGGTTCCCAGAAAGTAGCTTAAACAAAGGAAGAAAAAAGAAAATCAATCAAGAAAACAAGAAATTATCTTATCACGACGAAAGAAAATGAATATCCAAAGACTTATGGAACTGATTCCACGACTCGGGGAAAGCTGGAGTTGTGGTGGGGATGATGTCCCTGGTAGAAATAACAACGAACCGTTGCATCCATCCACGATCGTTGTCATCTTCTACGCAGGTGAGAAGGGTGTGGTGGCTACGCTTAATAAAGTTTAACACTCCCCCACAGAAAATTTTGAGGGATTAGAGGTTCATCATATGTGCGAGAGTTGGGGTTCCCGTTCTCACTGCACCACTGACGAAGGCAGGCCACCGTGCAACATATCGATGGGCCTTCTTATGGCAAGCAGACCTGATACAGGTGGCAGAATTCCATATTTATTGGGTCAAGTCCCTCACTCGACCCCAAAGTGAAGGGACCCAAAGTAAAGGGATATGTATAGACGTACATAAACCCCTCTCTGTAGTAGGTAACTCATTCTACCCATCTGGGGAGAGGATTTCAATATTGGAGCACTTGCAGTCCTCCTTCACAGCAGGGATACTAGAAGGTCGAATGGAGAAGGGTTACCTGCGAATTGGCCAAAACCTACTGCTTTGGGAATTCGCAAATGAAGTTTGTTCTTGGAGATCGGATGCGGTGCTGAGATGAAGAGGCATAATGGTGTTTACAGTTGGAGGCTCAGAATCGACGTCAACCTCTTTGTATTTGTTTTTCTTTAAGCCTCCACCGAAGAGAAGGCCAGTGTTTTCGAAGGTAGCAGTGAAAGACGACATAGTGGTAAAAGATTTTTGAAAATGTTCTTAATGAGAAAGTTGAATGTTGTACAAAAAGCTCTAAAGAAATTCAGAGAAAGCGAAAGAGTTGTAGAAGTAGTGAAAGTGAAGAAGTCAAAATATTGAGTAGCGGAGAAATTATCGATGGCAAAAACCATGGTCATGATTATCTCGAAAATTGGCAAAAATATTTGCTGAATCACGGGGCAACACGTGTTTGGGGTATTAAATGCGAGAAGACGTGCGTCCCTTCAAGTGTTAGAGACTGTTTAGGAACTTTTCCGCCAAGAAAGAAATCTTCATCCACTTTCCGCTAACACTGAATTGCATCAGCGAAAAGTAGGGGGACTATCTGTATGGGGTGAAATTGGTTGATAATAGGTGGTCGAATGATAAAGTAACACGTGGAACCGAAGACAGGCAAAGGACGAGTCGAAAAATAATTGACATCAGGTGCAAAATTTATGACTGGTACCCGGTGGATACCGAAGGAAGCATAACCGAAAATAGAGATTCAAAGACTTGACATCAGATAAGCAAATTAATGAGTAGCTGTTACAAAGAATATTTGCATTCAAAGCCGGTCGTTATATGCCCATCAATGATATTTTTATTCTCATTCAAGCGGAGCTTGATTCTAGGATCTTGTCTCCCTAGGTAGGGCTATAAATAGCAGGATTAACAACCATTGTAGGGACACGAAATATTCTGCACACAACATCTATAATCTATTTTCTTACTACGATAAACTCAAGCACTTGAAGTTTTTCTTGCTCTTGTCATCGGAAAGGCTACGTCCTTAACCAGGCTTGTTATTTCCTTTAATTTTATTCGTTAATCTAATTTTTGTTCTTATTTATTTTATTATTTTTGGATCAAATCGATTCGCTTGTCTGTAAACCACGCAAATGTATCGTTTTACGGGTAAATGAATATCAAGGTTGAGTTTGCATGTGATATGTGCAAATTTATCTCCAAGTTTTCCCAAATTTACCATTGTTGCTCCAGTTAGCAGTTAGAGTGCGAATCAATTGAGGCATTTAAAAGATAAATAAAATGTAGTTTAGACAAATATATTTATAATGAGGTTACCAAATGTCTTTGTTAATAGGGGTAAATTTTTATCCGTATTCGATTTTTGCACAAATTATTCTAATCTACCATGGTTAAGTGATAAATTGTTGTAAAAATATCTATTAATTAACTATATTTTAACGTTAACAGTGTATGTGAAAAAATTTATTATGCATTCATTGAGTTGATATAAGCACCGAGGGCTAGTAAGTTTGGATAGTCACGAGAAATTCGGTTTAACTTATTTCCTTATTTTTGACGCTATCCTGTTCAGTAAAAGACCTTATTAGGCTCCTCGAAATACTTAATTGTGTATATAGAAAAAAATTGATTAATAACAAACTCTTAGTAGAAAAGAATCTATGAAAATTCTTTTAAAGAAATTAAAGAACTTTATTGCTTGCTGTCAAACTAGGATATACGGTAGAAAAAGGAATGATCTGTTCTTTTTCTTTTTTTTAAATTATCTGTGTAATACTTACTCCCAGACTCTTTGTTTAGTTTTTAAGGAATGTGTAAGTGTTGGTAATTCCTAGTTGGTAGTAATGCAAAGTAAAAGATTCTTAGTGGGTATCTTTTTTTTTCAAACTTCTTTGTCTAACATATGAAAGTTTCATATGAATTGGGAAGAGCTCTATTTTCCTCTATATATTGAGTTGTCCTTTATTAGGCTAGTAAAAGAGGGTGGCTTCATATATAAAATACATATATTATTATATATTAATATACAAAAGTTATACATATTTTGTCGACTATTTTTTTTAGAGCAATTAAACGGTATAGTTTTCCCTAATTTTAATCCTTGTAGCAGTTGTGATATAATTTGTGTAACAACTACAAATTAATTCTTCCTTTTGTAAGAGTCAAACTAGCTAAACTTGTACATCAATGTTTCAACGTATATCAACATAAGCTTATTTAGGAAGTGTCCATTGACAGCAAGGAACTGATCGAAAATATGAGCAGCACATAATCAACATGGATAAGTTCTCTAGAAAATTGAGAAAGGAGACAACTCAAGATTACGTACCTTTCTTTTCGATTAAGCAAGTTCTGATAAATGCCGTCTGTGCAGCTTACCAACAGACAGTGAACTGAGTTAAGTATGACACCCTTCAATAAGGATCGTATTATCAAACGTCATTTTGCCGAAAATATACATTAAATAACATTTTTCTAAAAATAATATCTACATATATAATAAATTTACAAGCTTAATTAGATCCTCTCTAGCGCCATATAAGCACACATACAAGTCTAAGTGTGATAATAGTTCAATACAGTTCATGCAAGGCGTGCACGCTGATGTAGGCAAATGTGAAAATCGCGAATGAGACAAGCATATATCGAGTCAAATTTACCAGAAGAAAACGTGAAGATCGTGTAACTTTGCCAAAAAATGGGATAAAGTAATAACAGATTCCAGAACACCAGTTACGTACATGTCGCCTAGCTCACTACTTTTCTCTACATTCTTTTTATATTTTTGGTTCAATTACTATCACATTTCAGCCGTGCCTAGGTGCCTTCGTTCTCTTGTTATTTAAAGTCAAATATTTGCCCCTTTTTAAAAAAAATCTTTTCACTAGAATTTTGAGTAAAGAATAATGATGGAGAAATTCAGGTCTCTAGCATTCTTGATTATACTCTTGTTCTATGTTCAGTCAGTAAAATCAGAATTTCCTCTGGCACCAGCATTATATGTTTTTGGGGATTCATTATTTGACAGTGGCAATAATAATGTTTTGCCAACTTTTGCTAAGGCTGATTTCAAGCCTTATGGTATAAATTTCAATGGAGGAGCTACTGGAAGGTTTACAAATGGGAAAACTGTTGCTGATTTTATTGCTGAATTTCTTGGATTGCCCTTCTCTCCACCTTACTTGAGTTTACGAGGTTCAGTAAAACTCACAGGGTTAAATTATGCATCTGGTTCATGTGGTATTTTGCCTGAAACAGGAAATATCATCGTAAGAGATGCACAACTTCTTCTTCTTCTTCTTTTGTTATTTTTTTTGTTCACTTGATTTTGTTGAACTTCACTTTTGGAAGGAAATGAATTAGTAGCTGTTTTAATCCTGCTAACAGTCTTCGCACTTCATTTCGTTCTAAAAGAAATTTGATTTCACCCAGCAGGGCGAAGGGGAAGGAAGAGATGGGTGGTCAGGGAACAAAAACGAGAGAGTGGTCGTAGCCCCACTCTCACTCTTCCCCATGCCTATTTGTTCACCCAACCCCGAAGAAATGTAGAACTCTTTTTTTTTAATAAATAGATAAAGCCATGATCATCTAAAAGATAAACCATAAATACCTATAGATGCAAAGCTAATGGGGTTCAACTGAATCTCTTTCGTCGGAAAATTATACAGTGCAAGTAGAAAAATATATTTTTTTGCATAAATACTGATGGTTGAATACAACAAGTTTTTACTGTAGTTGGTAAAGGTAGTTTAAAATTTTCATTGATTAAGTCTTGTGGTTCAAATCCTAGTTGTGGCTTTTTTCTAATTCTCCCCTTATTAGAATTTTGTCACTGAAATAGCTATATAGTGGAACTAGTTATTTTGAAAGCATGTAACTTGTTAAAACATATTAAATTATAAATTTATTTATACATGTGAGTGTATCTAAGTTAAATCCTAAGTTCCTAACCCAAATAGTTCTTTTCCTGATTTTTGGCAGGGGAAGTGCCTGCATTTATCTGAGCAGGTTGATTTATTCCAACGAACGGTGGAGCAAGAATTGCCTAAGCAATATGATGATCCTGAGGAGCTTTCCAGTTATTTGTCAAGGTCCATTTTTCTCATCTCCACAGGCAGCAATGACTACGTAAACAACTACCTACAGCAAAACTTCTATGACAAAAGCAAACACTACAGTCCTCAATCCTATGCCAAACTTCTCATTCATGCACTTTCTCAACAATTTCAGGCAAGCCCTAGCTCCTTGGTAAAAGTATAAACAAATTTTTACACGATCAGTGTAATTTAACCTAGTTTAACAAATTACCACATGTTAAAATTCGGTTAAATTAGTCTTATGTGAAAAATTGCTCGTAGTTATTTTCTAAGTAACCTGATTATAATGAAACAAACTCGCTTAAATATTATTATACTGAGCATGCATGAATTAATGTTGTGGATATTGTGCAGAGGTTATATCGGTTAGGAGCTAGAAAGGTAATAATGTTCGAGATAGGGCCAATTGGTTGTGTTCCATCACTTACAAAGCAGCTAAAACACAATGGACTTTGCGCTGAAGAATATAACAATCTTGCGGTAATCTTCAACAACCTGCTCCGTGACATGCTCAACAATCTCACTTCCACTCTCAAAGGCTCCGCATTTATTCTTGGCCATGCTCACTGGCTTGGCTACGACGCTGTCACCAATCCTTCTACTTATGGTAATACTGTCAAATCTCTATACAACATCCCCTTTATTTCGATATTTTTTTTTGTTGTTATAGTGAAGCGTTGTTATAGAAAACATCTACTATTATAACATAACACGAAAAGTTTATTCCAAAGAAAACTTGGCCATTATGAAATGTTGTTATATAGCTAATTTTATGGATGATTATGCATCGAACCACGGGTCTATTATAGAAAATCATGAAACTAATTTTCGTAGCTAACAAGTACATTTATGTAATCTTATATTTCACATCAAATTGAAAATCACAAGAAATTCATTAATCTAGCGTCGGAAATTACAAATAATTAAGCTGCCACAATAGATAAGACTGTCAAATAAGCACCACTACGTCACACATCAAATCCATATCCACATCACAACACACACACACACACACACACACACACACACACACACACACATATATATATATATATATATATATATATATATATATATATATATATATATTGTCATCATTTTCCCATTTCTCTCAATTATTTACCTCCGTTTAATACATAGTTTCCCGTTTTAAAAGTTGAAGTTTATTAGCAGACATAAGATATTAGAAGTTACTAGTTTAATTTTATCTTATGTGGCAGCTTAGTTGTAATTTCCGGTGCCGGGTTGACTAATTTTTTTTTTTTTTGGATGATTTTTGTTTTATGCGAAGTATAGTATACTTAATTAGCTTGATGTACTTCTTTTTTTTTTTTGGTTACAAAAATTAATTTTATGACTTTGTTGCAGTTTGATGAGGAGTATCTTTGAAATGATCAACTGATCCTAGCGAGAAATTTATGTGTATTTTAGTCAAACATGATTAAAATTGAAATATTTTATCTTTTGTAGGTTTAATGGATCCAATTGGTCCCTGTTGCGTCACTTGGGCAAATGGGACATCAGCTTGCATACCTGAACTTGTGCCCTGCCGCAATGCAGATAAACACTACTTCTGGGATGGTTATCATCTTACTGAAACCGTGTATAGGTTTATCGCCACAAAATGTTTCAATGGGACTGATGTTTGTATTCCCAAGAATATTAAGGAGCTTGTGGAAGATTGACAAATTAAAGACTTTGTTCTTTAAGGAAAAGTGTTTAAGCTCCAGTTATATATGTACAACTACGTGTAAAATGGACTTGGGAGAAGTTAGAAAATTGAAAAGCGGACCAGTAGAAGTTTGATATGAAGGATTGTTTAGTTACTTGGCGTTTTCATTTATCAAAACTCCGTTTATAATGAGAGCTCTATTGATATATATAGAGTACAAATATATGATGAGTAATACTCGAACAGTTATATCAAGTTTTACTGATATTTCTGTAAGTGCACCGAGGCAGAGCTAGAATTTGAAGTTTATGGGTTTGAAATTCTAATCCTTTCAAGTTACTCGGTTTAAATTGGTAACTTGTACATATTAAATAATTTTTTAAGTGGGGGATTGTTGGACTTTAAGCCATTGGGCTTTAAAGTAGAAGACGTGTGAATTGGAAATGGAGGGAAATTGAAAATTTGAAGAAGTGAACTTTTGTCTTGCACTTTGTCCCTCATTGGTGAGGGACAACCACATTTGTGTGCTTATATATAGAATCACTTCTTAAAGCTCTTAAAAGGAGTTGAAGAGAATGAACCCTCGCGCCGTCGTCGTCGCTCGGCTTCGGATTTTGGATTTTGGATTTTGGATTTATCAAATGATCGATCGATAAGATTATTTTTGGATAAAATTTATTTAATTATTTAATAATTAATTAAATGCCAAATCACTGCTGAAAATACGCCAGAACCCTGCTGAAGGTTCAGAGGGCTCTCTGACTGCGGTTCTGCCGCGACCGCGGTAGAACCGCGGCAGGCTGATTCAGAGAGCCTCTCTGACCGCGGTTCTGCCGCGACCGCGGTAGAACCGCGGCAGGCAGCGTATTCTTCTGAAAAGGCACCTTTTCCAGACACCTCTTCTGATAATTGCCTATAAATTCTGAGGCAAGGCTCCATTTTCTACACACGAAAAACACTCCAGAACTTCTTTCTTTCTGAATATACTGCATCCTAATTCGCAGTCTCTCTCTCTCAAATTCGTAAGTGTGATTTTGCTCCGTTCTTTGAGTTCGTTGGTATCCTGCAATTTGTTATTGCCACTGTTGCAGGAAGGTTTATTTCCGTTTTATCCTGGGAGGATTTAATCCATTACCTTAGCAACGTGTGAGGGGGTTAAAATTCCTTAAGGACACACAAGAAAATTGTGGACTCGGAATATTTCTTAAACTCTTCTGTTTTTCCAGTTTCTTTTATTTTTCTAACAGTTTTTCCTGATTTTTGGTTTAACACAGTAACGTTCACAGAGCTTAAATCACACCCCCTAGGAGTGCGGCTCTTCTCGGACCCTGTGTGAATGCAGGATGCTTCGTGCACCGGGCTGCCTTTTATAAGGGGAACCTTGGAGCAACGCTAAAGTTGTATCTGTGTAAACTATAGGTCACGGGTTCGAACCGTAGAAGCAGCCAGGGTAGGTTGTCTACATCACACCCCTTGGGGTGCGAGCCTTCCCCAAACAATGCATGAATGAGGAATGGTTTATACACGAGTCTACTGTTTAAATATAGAGCTTAGATCAAAATTATTGGGTTTAGCCGAACACCTATCTTCGAGGCAAACTCCGCCCCTTAAACGGCTCTTTGGATTTAAATGGTATTTTGCATATTTACTAAGTGAGGAGTAAAGCTATTTTTATCGAAAGATTTCTCATTTTCAAAAATTAAATCCGCAAAGAGACTTGAGATAACGAATAGTGGTAAGCACAAAGAGAATCTCCATAGCACAATGCCAACCCTTAATTGAGAAAATAGTAGGAAGAATAACATCATGGACTACCAGATTTCTATCCTATGCTGGAAGAATACAGCTTATCAAAAGTATCCTATTTTCTGTGCAGACATACTGAGCACAAATATTTGTGCTGCCTAAAAAGATTACATAGTTAATAGAGGCTATTTGCAGGAGTTTCCTATGGACAGGTGAGAGCAATGTGTCTAAGGAAGCTCTATTAGCATGGGAGAAGATTTGCATGCCCAAGACAGCAGGAGGGTTTAACATCATGAATATAGCATTGTGGAATAAAGCAGCAATATGCAAACATTACTGGGACCTATGCAGAGAAAAGAATAAGTTGTGGATCCAATGGATTCATAGCTACTATATTAAAGGCAAAGATGTATGGGGTATGCAGGTGAAGCAAGCATCATGGTTGTGGGAAAGATACTAAAAGCACAGGAAACACTTGTTAAGGCAAGATTCAGCTATGAAGAGGTTAAGAGAATCAAGAAGTGCAGTATAAAAACAATATATCACAGGCTGCGTGGCACATTTGAAAAGGTGAGATGGAAAAAAGTCGTATGCCAGAATGCAGGATGTCCGCGATGGATCTTCCTGTTAACATTGACGGCACATGGCAAGCTATGCACGAAGGATAGACTACAGAAATGGGGTATGCATGTAGAGGCTGAATGTGTACTTTGCAGAAAAGGGAGAGAGAGTGTTCAGCACCTGTTTTTTGAGTGTAAATATTCAAAAGCACTATGGAGCAGTATGTTAACTTGGCAAGGAGTTAGTAGGAGAATACAGGGATGGGATCAAGAGCTGATATGGGCTATACACATAACCAAGCAAAGGAACCCAAAGTCAGAACTGTTCAAGATGATACTAGCTGCAACAGTGTACTATGTGTGGCAAGAACGAAATGCAAGAATATTTCAGACAAAAGCAAGGGGATGGGAAGCACTATGCAAGAAGATTGTGCAAGATGTTCACTGCAGAAACAACAAATACTTAGAAGCAAGGTTGAATAGCCTTAATTGGTATCCTTATAATAGATAGATATATGTTTATGTTAAAGGAGGGGAGGGGAACATAGAAGAGTAGGATGGAATGTATGGGTTTCGTATTACTTGTAAATATTTTTCCCTGGTAAATAGAAAGTTTAATTACCAAAAAAAAAATATAAAAGCTATTTATACTGTTATTGTATACTTCCTAAGTTATAATTTATATGTTTTAGTTTTCTTTTTAGTATGTTTTAGGAGCATGTAATATTTCAATATTTTTAATTCTATTATTTTAATTTTTACCCTTAATAACATTGACATTTAAGATTACAACATTCAAAAAGTATTTTTAGTTTATTATACATATTTTTAGTTTAAGATCTTAAGATTTAATGTTTTTATAGATTGCTAAATTTCGTGTTAATTCAAATTAAAATACGTACTCTATCCGTTTCAATTTATATTACTCTCTCCGTTTCAATTTAGATGAGGTAGTTTGACTCGCCACGAAGTTTAAAAAAAAGACTTTTGAAACTTGTGATTTTAAAAGCTTAAGGGTTAAAAGCTTTGTGGGGCCATGATATTTTTGTGGTTATAAAAGTTTTTCATTAAGGGTAAAATGGGTAAAATAAAGAGTTAAAAGTTGAATTATTTCCAAATTTAAAAATATATCATTTATTTTGGAACAGACTAAAAAGGAAAGTACGTATCTAATTTGAAACGGAGAGAGTAACTTTTTTTTTTTTCCAGTTCGTAACAAAAAGAATGACCATTTTCATATTTAGAAACAATTTACCTTTATGTAATGATTTATACCATACAAAATATTTTTATACCACAAGTTTAAAAAATTTCTCTCTTTTCTTAAATTTAGTGCCCGATCAAATAAGTTTACATAAATTAAAATAGTGAGAGTATAAAATAAAACCGATTGATGTAAATTAAGCATATCGTTAAAATGGTATGCCATGGACCCACGGTGCTACAAGCTGTACTCAAAGGACTTTAGATGGACATTACGAGAGTACATTACTCAAATGGTCATTGAACAATCCCAAATTATCTTTTAAAGTTACTTTTCTTTCGTTTGTAACAACAAAGTCACTAAACTATGCCTTTGCACTCAGAAGGTCACTCAACTAGATTTCTAAATTTTGGATTGCCAAATACCTATTTTACCCTCTAAATTATAAATATTTATCTTTTTTTATTATTTTTAAACTTTTTAATATTGTGATTTTTTTCTTTCTAATTTATATTATGAACTTAGCTATAGAATAAATTAATATTATTTATAAATTAAAAAAATAAAAAGTATTTAAGTATATATAATGGTGGAATAATAAAATAACGAGCATAGTAAAAAAATTAATTAGAATAATTTGTTAGTAATAATAATTTTAGTATTAACAACAAAAATTCAAAATTTATTTACACAACTCAGAATGAAAGAAATAAAGGTTGTAAAATATATATTACATGCACGTAACATAAAAATAATTATTTAAATAAGGATATTTTTATAATGTACATTATATATTCTTGAAAATTATGCTCAATTACATTATTATGTTTCTACCAACTTTCCGACGACACAAAGTTATGTCACCGGAAAGCAGCAGGATTATCTATATAGGGTAAAATATGCTATGTTAAGTCGTGCATGGAATATATATATATATATATATAATTTAATTGAGCATAATTTNTATATATATATATATATATATATATATATATATATATATATATATATATATATAGCCAAATTGAGCATAATTTCAAGAATATGTAATGTATATTAAAAAATACTTTTATTTAAATAATTATTTTTATATTACGTGCATGGAATATATATTTTACAACCTTTATTTCTTTCATTCTGAATTGTGTAAATAAATTTTTAAATTTTTATTGTTAATACTAAAATATTATTACTAACAAATTATTCTAATTTAGTTTTTTACTATGCTCATTATTTTATTATTCCAGCATTATATATATGCTTAAATACTTTTTATCTTTTTAATTTATAAATAATTTTTATTTATTCTATAGGTAAGTCCATAATATAAATTAAAAAGAGAAAAATTATAATATTAAAAAGTTTAAAAATAATAAAAAGAAGATACATGTTTATAATTTAGAGGGTAAAATAGGTATTTGGCAATCCAAAATTTGGAAAATCTAGTTGAGTGACCTTCTGAGTGCAATAGACATAGTTCAGTGACTTTATTGTTACAAACGAAAGAAAGGTGATTTTAGAATAATTTAGTGACCATTTGAGTAATAGACTCACATTACGAGCTAATCATTCACACAGCAAAATTGATTATTGATTAGACAGCCGCGTGTCAGACAAAAACACCAGAAAAAAATAATCTCTTTT